TATATATGTATATATATGCATATGTATGTATATGTATATGCATATGTATATGTATATGTATGTATATGTATATTATATATATATATATATATATATATATATATATATATATATATATATATATATACATATAGTATATGCATGTGTCTATACTTTGGCACGCACATACACACTCACGCACTCACTAACTCAATCACACACACACACACATATGTACACACATAAACACGCACACACACACACTCACTAGCACATACATACACACTGTATAACGATTGCATATTTAACAAATAGTGAATATTACGCTCATTCGATGCAAATACGTTATAGATATATGGCAAATCATAGTGAAACAAGTTTAGCAGATGCATAGTGAATGTACAGTAACAATTACTTAATATATGTTGAATGCACTGTAATGTAGATCTCGCGGCGTGAATAACTGCCACACTTGATAATATTCTCAATGTATCTATCAACAATGTTATCGCTGGATCAACAATTATTAACAATGGTCACTGGAAGCGGGGAAACGAACGCAAACCCTTTTTCAGTTTAAATTACGTTCACTCGATATGCTTTGTCGAGTCTGCAAGTACGATCGTCCCAAAATTGGTACCAAAATGTCTGCTGAATACGTACATACAATTTCCTGGAACTGTTGATATATATGCTATTCGTAACAAAGGACGTCGGCTGATGGACCAAATATTTTCTTTTTATTGAGATTATATAAACTACTTTCTGTTTATGTCATCCCTTCAGTATTAAAACATGAGAATATCGTAGTCTGTTGCAATATGACAGGAATGTCAAAAGGTACAGTACCTGGGGGCGGCATTCTTGGTGTGTGGTGATAGACATGCACGTACATGCGCGGGCGCGCGCATGTGTGTGTGTATGTGTGTATACATACATGGATGTATACACACACACACACACATATATAATATATATATATATATATATATATATATATATATATATGTGTGTGTTGTGTGTGTGTGTGTGTGTGTGTGTGTGTGTGTGTGTGTGTGTGTGTGTGTGTGTGTGTGTGTGTGTGTGTGTGTGTGTGTGTGTGTGTGTGTGTGTGTGTGTGTGTGTGTATGTGTGTGTATGTATATTTACATACATTATGTCTTTGCGTGTACGTGTGCATACATGCATGCACACACACACACACATGTAATATATATATATATATATATATATATATATATATATATATATATATATATATATGTATGCACACACACACACACACACACACACACACACACACACACACACACACACACACACACACACACACACACACATATATATATATATATATATATATATATATAATATATATATATATATATATATACATATACATATATACATATAGTATACATATATATATTATATATATATATATATATATATATACATATATATATATATATACATATACATACACACATATATATATATGTATTATATATTGTGTGTGTGTGTGTGTGTTTGTGAGAGAGTGAGTGAGTGTGTATCTGCGTGCCTACGCCCGTATTTGATGCCCCCTTGCATAATCCAGTGCACCTCAGTCTGGGCACGTAATTGACGGGGTACTATCAACCGCCCCCCCCCCCAGGACCCATGCAATATTCATTTCACACACACACACACACACACACACACACACACACACACACACACACACACACACACACACACACACACACATACACACACACACACACACACACACACACACACACACACACACACACACACACACACACACACTTACACACACACAGAGTATATACATATGTAAACATATATTTATGTACTTGCATGTACATATATATCCATTTTCAAGAATACGTATACAGATATAAGTGTATCTGTAACGTGAATCTAACCGACTGGTGTAGACAACCCGTTTATTTACAAATTTAGTTTTTAATTCAACCGGTAGATGTCGTCAATTCTAGGACTTCTCCCATTACTTTAACCAATGAAAATCCCTCGCTAAGAAACTGTATCCCAACTCGAGTTCTGATTGGCCCAAACCGACAGCCCTCCGTGACAGTTTTCCCTCCCCGAACACAAATCCCTGCCGTGTTGGCCGTAATGTCAGCTGACTCCAGCAGACCTCTCCTTTTCTTCCCTTAAAAATCGGCTCAATAACGTGAAAAAATGTCGACTGGAGGATCTTATAATAGCGAACGCCCTCCTTCAGTGGATGTGGACTACTCGGCGGACCCTGCGTCGGGGAGTTTCTTTAGCACAGAGTTCAAAAAGTGAGCAAAGTTGAAAGGATTTCGCAAACATATTTATCCGGACTTATTTTGTTATGGTTGTAGTATTTTGTGTATGGTTTTCTGAATGAAATTGAACTTTTCCTAATAGCTGCGAGGTTTATTTAGTTATAAGTTATTCTTAGTATCCTTAGTGATGAATATTAACTGTGTTGTCTAAATAGTCATCTGGTAATCTCATAATGGGATAGTTATTTTGCATTTTACTATATATATCATGGTGATTATTCAGAATAGGACTATCAAGTGACACCATACCTTCATGCTGCCTTGCACTCCAGAAATGGCTTACAGACGTCCATCCTATATATGCTAGGAAAATAGAACACTCATTCTGTATTTGATGATAAATTGCCCAGGGAGGTATACATAGATTTATTTTCCTTCTAGGCATCTATGTTCTGTAATTAGTTGCCTAGTGAATGTTATTTTGTGCAATGCTGCTACATAGATGAGCATGGAGATCGTTTCATAGCAGATCATCATCTCATATCAGATTTATGAAAATCATTATCTCTGAAGAGATGAATCATTAGGAGGCTGATGCTGCAATCATTGTTGCATACAGAAATGAGCAAGTGCATAGTAATGATACTTATTTACGGTTAATCTTCATGGTATGGACGCACTAAGTTGGGGTAGATATAAAATTATATTCTTCTTGAGGACAAGAAGTTGCAGTCCTTGGTAGAAGAAATAATCTGCAGATACAAAAGGTAGCATCACAAATAAAGGAAAAATATTATGGAAAATGTCGCTCTCAGCCTTAGTCCACTTAGTGCTCCCAAGCTTCAGCTCAGTCTTGCTGTGCATACCAAGGTGAAGACAATGTTTCCAGGGAGGTGTTGGGGGGCTACCCTCCCCTCGGACAGTACCCAAAGTGGCACTCCAAGCCACGGCAACTCAGATTAATGAATAAATTTTTTGACATGGAGTTGAGTTCTTGATTATAATGAATTACGCTATTTGCACATTCAAATAGGTAATGTTTACTTTTCTGGGTGTCTCATGTGGGACACCCGTTGTCAATTGGGTTAATTGTCCCTACACATAGATGGCTCCACAAGTACGTAATCAAAAAGGAGTAAATTACTAGTACTATATACCCATCTTGTTTAACCATTTCCTTAATATTTAGGAAATATTTTCCATAATATTACATTGCAATTAGTAAAGTTAATCATACAATGATTTTAATGTATATCATAATAATAACAGCATAGATATTGATAGCATTATGGATAAAACAATTTCCTGAAACCTCGAGGAAAGGGGGAATCAGACGAGGTCTTGAGGTCTGCTAATTGACTCCGGGATGGCTGAGCATGCATGGAGCCTTGGACTCATAGAGACATTTTACAAAACAAAACTGTGTTAAACTTCAAATTTCCCAGCGGCATTTTGTGGGATAAAAACATGTGGTTATGCAAAGGTAGATCCCATTTTAAGATATTTAAAAAATATTTCTATGTAATAATGAATCTGTAGGCTAGATATTATTTGCTAGAAAGCATGTATGGACATTCAAGAATTTCTGATGGTGAGAGTAATTTCAGCTTCTAGCACAAGGGATGGATGAATGGTTTTCTAAATTTTAGGATTTTTTTTTTTTTTCTTTTTTTACTTCTGTGATTTTGATTACAATTTTTTTATTTGAATGTAAGCCTCACGTCTAATACCAACAAATCTAAAGTTGTGATATTTTATTTTCCAGACATGAAGATCTTAAGCAGATGCTGGACAGCAACAAGGATGGCCTCAAGTTGGAGGCGATGAAACGAATCATTGGGGTTGGTGCTCTTGGCTCAACTTTTCCTTGGCCTTTTAGTTTGTTTGAGACTTAGTACCATAGCTAGCAATGATTATGTGAAGTAACTGTTTTCTTCTACTTTTTTGGTGCATTATTCAAATGCAAGCCTATGATCTTGTTCCCTTGGTATGGAGTATCTAGCTGGGTTGTAGAACCTGCACATGCATCTCAACCAATACTGTTTCAGTATAAAAGTTGTATATTATTGTATAGAAGCTCCAAGATTATCCACATAACTGAAGCAACAGATGAACCTGATACTTTGCATTCTTTTATTTTGAGCATACTAAAAATAAGGATTTCAACAAAATCTCCCACTGATATGAAACACTGAGGGTAGCAGGGATTTAAAAGCAGTATGTACTGGGCCACCACAGTACACAAGCCTTATTTTAGAAATAAATGAGTAAATCAATAATTTTTCTGATGTATGCATTTCATGTCAAGATGGAATAATGCAGGGCAAAAACATTGCAAAAGTATAAGCAGTTATTATGTTTGCATTTATGTATAAACATTTGAAAAGTAATGAATGTAAAATTTTAGCAAATTACTAATCTTTCTTTGTTTCTTTCTCTTAATGCAGATGGTGGCAAAAGGGCGTGATGCTTCAGACCTATTCCCAGCAGTTGTCAAGAATGTAGTGAGTGCCAACTTAGAGGTGAAGAAACTTGTGTATGTGTACCTGGTGCGTTATGCAGAAGAGCAACAGGACTTGGCCCTCCTGTCTATCTCCACCTTCCAGCGTGCTCTTAAGGTTGACGGTGTTTGAAACTTTTTTTCTATTTGTTTAGTCTTGTTTATATCCTACTGATATTCTGCTGCTTACTGACAACACTAGAATGTAATGTAAGGACATTTTTTATTTTTAGAGAGAAATATTAGTCATATGTTTAGCAGTTTCATTTTTCATCAGGTTCTATTCATTATGTTGATATATTGAATCACTGTGAAGCTAATTTTGTATATATTTTTTTCTTAAATTTTAAGCACACTCCATAGAATATTTGCCCATTAATTTACTGTGCAATACCATTTTAGTGTTTGTGATTTTTACATCTAGAAAATAAAAGATAAAAAGAGAGCATTCTAATGAAGAAATCAAAAGAATCTTTTCATGCCAAACTACATGTTTGAGCCTTATTGAATTAACTACAAAGATTTTTCCACAGGACCCCAATCAACTGATTCGAGCATGTGCTCTACGTGTTTTGTCCAGCATCCGTGTGCCAGTCATTGTCCCTATCATGATGCTAGCAATCAAGGATGCTGTGAGTGACATGTCTCCTTATGTTCGAAAGACGGCTGCACACGCCATCCCAAAGCTTTACAAGTAAGTGAAAGGAAGTGTGATAAATAATTACTTCTCACTTTATTAATGTACCATACACAAAGCTGAATATATAATTGTAAGTCCTCCTCTAAGAAGATTGATTTTAATTGAAAGGAGATAGCTAAGTTTAAAAGAAGTGTTGTATTTGAAAACGAAAAGATGACAACTTTATTCTAAATTATATTTTTACGAGAGAACATTCAACATTTTACTTACCCCTTTTTCTTACAGCCTTGACCCAGAACAAAAGGAGGAATTGATACAAGTAATTGAGAAATTGCTCTCAGACAAGACAACTCTTGTGGTTGGGTCAGCTGTGATGGCTTTTGAAGAGGTATGTTATTGATTTTGTAGCCGTAGAGTGAGTGAGTGAGTGAGTGAGTGAGTGAGTGAGTGAGTGAGTGAGTGAGTGAGTGAGTGAGTGAGTGAGTATGTGTGTGAGCGAGTATGTTTGTGAGCGAGTATGTTTGTGAGCGAGTATGTTTGTGTGAGCGAGTAGCGAGTATGTGTGTGTGTGAGCGAGTATGTGTGTGTGTGAGCGAGTATGTGTGTGTGTGAGCGAGTATGTGTGTGTGTGAGCGAGTATGTGTGTGTGTGAGCGAGTATGTGTGTGTGTGAGCGAGTATGTGTGTGTGTGTTTTTGATGGGAGGTGTAATAGAAAATAAGAAGTATGTGTGTTTTTTACTCTTATGGAAACCTGTTATCTTCTTTTAGATAATCAAGAAAATCCTGAAAAAGTACTTGAAAGTTAAAACTTATGTTGCACAATCCTCAATTAAAACATTATTTTTGTCACCAGGTGTGTCCAGAAAGAATTGATCTCATCCATAAGAACTACAGGAAGCTATGCAACCTCTTAGTGGATGTTGAGGAATGGGGTCAGGTCATCATCATCAACATGCTGACCCGATATGCACGTACCCAGTTCATTGACCCCAATGCTGGGGTAAGGCTTTTGCATTATATGTTCTCTGTTTGAATTAGGAAGTAGAATTTCATCATTGTTGAGTTTGATTACTGTATGTTATATCCTGTTTGTTAGTAAAATGTTAATTTTTCTCGATGAAGTTTCTTAGTATTCTGTGCATGCGTATGTGTACATATCTGTTCACATAAGTGTATAGATTCATTCATGTATCACTGTAGATTAGTGTTTTTATGCAATGAACAAATTAATGTGATTACTATATGAAGTACACCTTATAGGAAGGTTTAGAGGAGAAAGAGAAGCCATTCTATGAGGATGAGCAAGAGGAACCAGAAGATGCAGACACCTTATCAAAGAGGCCTAAAACAATGGACCCTGACCACCGCCTCCTCCTCCGAAACACAAAACCCCTCCTGCAAAGTCGTAATGCAGCTGTGAGTTCATCTATTTGCTTTTCTTTATTTTCCAAGTTCAGTTTTCTCATTATTTTCAAAATGACTTCATGGAAATAGATACCTTTTAGTTACTCGCTTATTTGTTAAAAGAGAATTCTTTCACTCAGGTTGTTCTTGCTGTTGCGCAACTGTATCAGCATATTGCTCCACGTGCTGAGGTGTCGCAGGTGGCCAGGGCTTTAGTCAGACTCCTGCGTTCTCACCGTGAGGTCCAGGCTGTAGTCCTAACTAACATAGCATCCATGTCCACACGTCGAAAGGTAAGTTAAGCTGTACATTTTTTTTATCCTTTTCAGTAAATTTTTTCTTGTTTTTCCTGTTATTTAGAAAGTTCAGTATGTTTTTATCAGGATACACTATATTAAGAACTGTTATGCTACATTATTATTTATATTATATATATATCTTAACATGATATGACATACAATTCTATACATAACTTATTGTATGTGGTGGTTGATTAAAAATTTGCATTTTAATTTAGAGTTACCTGCACTTAATTTATTTGGAGGGTGATTTTTTCTAAATGACTTAATTCTGGAAAAGCATGACTATTTTTACTATATATATATATATATATATATATATATATATATATATATATATATATATATATATATATATATATATATATATATATATATATATATATGTATATATACATATATATACACATATATATTGAATAACGCTCTCACTTGTGAAAAGTTTTAAATAAGATTTTTTTTTGGTTTGGCAAAATAGCTATGCATTTTGGTTTCTACTATGTCTAATGAGGAAATCCTTTTTATTGTGGCAATGTTTTGATTTGAAGTGTACATATATAAATATACATAGACAAAAAGTGCATATATCTATGTATCCATACACTTATATTTTCCAGCTGCTTTACATTCAAACTGCCATAAAGAGGTTCATGAGCTTTGCTTATACTAATTGTAATTGGCTCAGGTTTACCGCATGATAGGTTTTAGATATTAGTGCTGGATTTATGTGGTTCTTGCCTAGAAGAAAGTTCACAGATGTTGAAGATGGTATAAACAGCAGTGGATATTGAATTTTGAAATTATTCATGTTCATTCTTATGTTCTTCAGCTATTTAGTCTTTTGAATTAGAGATGAAGTAGTTCATTTACTAATTTTCAGAGAGAGCGGAAAGAATTTCTTGTATGTTTTGCCTTGTTATGCATATCTGTTTCACTTACTTATTGTCAGTTTGAATATATATTTTTTGAGCAATGCATGCAAGTGCTGTAGATGTGCTCATAGTAATAACCAGTGTGTATTGAAAATCTTTTGTCCTGTTTTGTGCATAGACAGAATTCTGCATGGTTTGTAAACAGAAAAGTATCACATAGAAGGATTCTACTTTTTCTGATGCTATGCAGAAGAGATTTGTATGATTAACTTGCAAAAAGTTGAAAAAGATATTAGATATATATATCTTTCAGATCTATTTTTGTTTATAAAGGAGACATGCATAACCTTTATATTTACTCATCCATTATCAGGGTAAGGTACTAACTAACTTTAGTTGTGAAGCATATAAAAAGGAAATTTGATTGCTATTGATCATAGGTTTGTTGGCATTTAAATTCGCTATTCATGTATCGCGGTGTTTTTCTTCTTCTTTGAATATATTGTTATTCATTTGTCAGTTTTAGGTGACATGTAAGTCTTTTGTGACATATAGATGAGGTTCTTTGAAAACCACTTTCTGATATGTAATCATAAGTGGAGGTGAGAAGACCCGACAATGGCAGGTTTAGAATGAGTGGTTACACCTACTAGTGGTTGGGCTGATGTGATGGTCACCAACTCCAGGGGGCAGCTAGAGACATGTCTGGCCTACTCCAGTCCTAGGTAGTAGAGGTTACCCCAGTTTATGCGTATAATGCCATTGAGACTGGAGCGTGCTTTAGGCTTCATCTTTTATTGCTCTGTACATGCCTAGCAGTGTTTGCAAACTATGTAAAAAGGGTGTTCTATGCTAAATTTGTTTCTGTGGCAGACAATTGTCCCAGAAATCAGAGCAATCTGGATTCACTCTTGGCAGGTTCACAATAGAATGGATCCAGGCCCTTTAAGTCACTGTGGAAGGCCATTGTGAGTTTGGTTATGGGTTGTTTGCAGCCTACATTGAATTCAGGACTTGGTTCATCATGAATAACACTGAGAGATCCTGAGGTTTAGGGGAATTCTGACAAGGATTTTTGTTGTGCTGAAAGTGTTTTTAAAAAGTGTGGTGGGTGGTTATAGGAGTGAATCAGGGCAGAGATCTCACATAACAGCTTTTCAACACTTATATGGATTGGATAAAGGGGAGAGCTACTATCCAAAGTCATTGTGGAGCAGCACTTGGCAATATCAAGGTCACCAACCTTGACTTTGCAGATAGTGTTGCAATCCTACCTAATAACAAGAAACTCAAGTCATATCTCTTGATTTATTTAGCACTGAGGCAAATCTCTTGGGTTTAGAGGTCTCTTGTACCAAAACCAAGATACAGGACTATGGGGGCTTGTTAGGAGAATTATTTTAGTTGGTACATACTTGCAACGAGGACATTGAAGTCACAGAGAGCTTTACATAACTTGGTTATGTAGATCATGATTCTGGCCTTTCTGACCAGGAAGTCAGTTGACTGATTGGCCTGATAGCAAGTGCAATGAACTCAGATGACAAGACTATTTGGAGATGCCAGTGCTTGTTTAAAAAGACCAAGCTACATGTTTTCAAGGCCCTATTACTGCCACTTTCGCTTCATGGAAGTGAAACCTGGACGCTATCCCTTGCCTTGGTGTCCTAATGCCTTTTGTAATAGGTGAACTTCTAACTGTACTCATGAAGTACACTTAGAAGGACTGTATGTCCAACCAGCATTTATACCATGAGACGAGCATAGGACCTCTTACTTGGTCGATCGAGGACCACCAACTCGCTTTATAAGCACTTAGCTCGCTTCCCTGTGGATAATCTTCCCCACCAGGTTGTGTCTTTCAAGACAATAATGGGTGGAGGAGGACTGTGGGATGATCTAGGAAGTCATGGCTTGGGTAGATTCAGGAGACCTGTTGTAAGGAGGTAGAGGTGGCCAAGGACTAGCCTGGCGGCTCACTATGAGAAACCCTTGTGGCTTGAAGCAAAGGGCAGATATGGCTATTTGCTCCCATAGTCTTCATTTTATTGGTCAATTGATTATCTAGTGTCTTTAGTTGATATTGGTGTCATTTTTGAAAAAATCTTTGATTTTCCAGAATTATGTTCACTTGCCACTTTTTATCGGAATTCATTAGCTGTAGTGCAGAAATTGAATAATAGGTATGTTATAAAAATATTAAAAATAAGTGTAACTGCAGTACAATAAGATAAAGAGAATAATTGAAACTGCTATATAACAGTGATATTCAGCTGCATGACACTGATGTACAGCAGTATAAGATAAATCTTCACAACAATGGCATACTGACAAAAATTACCTCATTTTACTTCTTTGTGCAGTTTGTGCAGCTTTTGAAAGTTACTGTTATCATGCGATTGTTGAATGCAACTTTGATGAGTGAAGGCAGTTGTTTGCGATTTAGTTAAGTTCAGGCTATTACTTTGGGAAGTGCGGTGAATGTGAAATAATGGAGATTAACATTTTGAATGGGTGACAAATTACCTTTGTCATTAGTTTTGGCATTGTTTTCCCAGTGGCAAAGTTACACAGGGTTTCCTAAAATTTAATATATGAAGACCCCCAAACTTGAGGACACCCCCCACACCCACACATATATATCTGTATACATATATACATATATATAATATATATAATATATCTATGTATATATCTATGCTGTATATATCCTATATATAATATATATATATATATATATATATATATATTATATATATATATATATATATATATATATATATATATATATATATATATATATATATATATATATATATATAATATATATATATATACATATATTATATATATCATATATATACATATATATATATATATATATATATATATATATATATATATATATATACATATATAATATATATATATATATATATATATATATATATATAATATATATATATATATATATATATATATATATATATATATATATATATATATATATATGTAATATATATGTATATATATATATGTATATATATATATATATATATATATGTATATATATGTATATATATATATATATATATATATATGTATATATATATACATATATATATGTATATATATATATATATATATATATATATATATATATATATATATATATATATATATATATATTATATATATATATATATATATATATATATATATATATATATATATATATATATATATATATATATATATATATATATGTATATATACATATATATATATATATATATATATGTATATATATATATATATATATGTATATATATACATGTATACATTTATATGCGTATATATGCATTTATATATGTGTATATATGCATATGTATAATTATGTATGTATAACTAATTTTTCCACTGAAATTTTATTTCTTCTTTTTTGTACAAAGCTTTAAGCAAAAGAAAGATTATCGCAAATAACTTTCATATTTCTTGTTACACTCCCTTTACAGGCCAATGCAAGTATACAGGAGAAAGAAAGTATTTTATACATTTTTTGTATTTGCACATCTAGGAATTATCTGTACTGAAAATTCTTTTTATACCTTAAAATTCGTATGATTCATTTGATCATTTTTGTTTACTAATGAGCTATTGCATAGATTTACAATAAAGGGTGGTGAAGGCATATATGTGGGCATAAATACAAAGTCATTAATTTGTGAATTTGCGTTATGTAATGTGAGGTTTTGGTGTACATTATAAATATTTAGTCATAGTTTAGGAGTCATTGTGATTCTACGTCAGTGATATACACATATGTAAGATGTTACAGAAATTTGTTCCCCTCAGTGTTCTTGGCTGTCAAATGAATATGCTCTACACATCATATTTTTTATGATTTTACTTTATTCCTTCTATGAATTTTCAGCACAGATGATTTAGTATATAGAAAACTTGCTTATTTTCAGCACAGTATTTTTGTGTAACATCTGCACACTCCATTGGTATACATGCTACTTGGGGCTAGCAACTGGTGTGTGATCTCTTTTGTATTCGGCCAGACTATTAAAGTAGAGATAGGTTGTGTATGTAAAATTTATGAGACAAAATAATGAGTAGCCTTTAAAAAAGGTGTGAGGATATCTGAGGAACTCATGAAAGTCTCTTGTAGCTTCTGTGATTTGTTTGTGGGAGTGTCATCCTAATGTGTGAATGTTGGTGATGGAATATATTGTGTGTCTGTTTTATGTACAAAAACAAAAGCTTTATATGGGAGGATAACTCTTGTGAGTTTTTGATTGGGTGTTGTTTTCAATTTTTTCTGTACATTATGATATGATGGGGAACTCCCAGGAAAACCTATTTTAGGTAGAATAAATATGTAAAATGAAATTCACATAGGAATGGGAAAGTATACAGATATTTTTGCAGTCAATCTTTGTTATAATTAAGTTGCCTAAGGACAAACTATTCTAATTTTGGGCACTGAAACTGTGTGCTGGGAGTTTTTGCTTCTCTTGTATTTAATTACTATATTATAGTACTATAAAATGTACTGTCAGTTTCCAAGTATATAATGACAGTTGCACAGTTTTCACTCTTATTAAATGGGAGTCAGTTGAGGGATCGCTGTATGGCACAGGAACAAAATGTAGGCCTATGTCTACTCATATCTCAGGAAAGAAGATAGGAAGCATGCTGGGAGTACATACCTTTCTTGTCAGCCACCAGCATCTCAGATAAGTCTTGACTTTCTTTCACTTGGTTAATTTCTCTTGTCTATGATTTATTCTTCCTGCTTCCATTACCTTCTCACCGAACTTGGTTATTGCCATAGACCAAAGCTGTGCATTTGATTCCAGCTTTTAACAGTCAGGTGGTGCTTTGTGGATACTTATATATCTTCTTGCCATTCAGGAGGATGGAGGGGTTAAAAGGGGATCCATTGTCATGAGGCTGTTATAGCATTGGTAGACTATATTACTCCATGGGACACAGATGGTGTGATTACAAGCCGTGTCCACAGTAATTTAGTTTATTAATTTTCTTTGCACAGAGATGGCTTTACAAGTGCTTGGTCATCAAGGAGTCCATTAGTAGTCATGCATATCTTACCCGTTTACACTTCCTTGATTTCTAGAAAGACATTTATATTATTGTATTATTTTTATTACTATTAGTATTTTAATAACATTAATTATCACTGTGTCAAACTGTAGTAACAGTACCAATGATAATAGGATTAGAAAGAAAAAAATATTTGCCTGTAAATTCAAGAATGATGAAATTGGTCACAAGGGCCTACTAATTAACCTCTTGGAGGCTGAGCACCTGTGGAGCCATTTGTGTTCAAAAATATTCACGAAAGATTACAGTGGACAGTGCATAATCCCTCAGCCATTAGTTAGATGACAGATTGAGGAAATGCTTCTTGATAAAGAATTACAATTTTCAGTGAAACTTTGATGCAGTCTGATGCTTAATGACATGGATAATTCAGATTATGATTTTAGGTCACTTTGTTGTAGAATTATACTTTACTTTTTAGTCTCTATTTGAGCAGATAACCCGATTTTTCTATTATGAATGTAGATGGAATGGGTTAGAGGGGTTAAAAATCACTTGGCCCATTTTGTCTTGGCCAATAAGGGAAACAAAGGACACAAGTATCTGGATTGTTTTGTGGAAGTATTGAGGTATTATTACAAGTACTGGTATTTGATATATTGTTTCTTGGTGGCCTTGTAGGTTGAATTATATTATATGAAAATACCCCAGTAAATTTACAGTAAAGCTGGAACAGTCAAATATTTACTGTAAGTATATTTATATTTTTTTAAAGATGACTCTTTTTGCCCATTATATTTGCTATTGTATTTAAAGTTGTCAGAATCAAAATAGTGGGATTTCCTAGAATCAATTCAGTAGTAAATAGACCAGTAGTTTAAGAGAGAGAGGATTTTATTGTAAAATAATCGTAAAGGGTCAGGTTGGGATTAATTTTTGACAGATTAATGCATCTGTACCAAAAAGGATGGCCTTTTGTGTGACTATCTTGTTTTACTTTAATAGTCATTCAGAGTAGTAGATGTATTTTTCAAACTACAGTAGACTATAGTAAAACTGCACTTTAAATGTGAATACAACTGCTAGGTAAATAGATGATTATTTGTATTGCTAAAGTTGCTAGAGAAATATTATTTTAAACATATAAAACATACCTTTTTAATCACATAATGGAATAATTTTTTTTTTTTTTACATTGTTTATGCATGCAGCTTCTTTTCCATGAGTGTGTGTACATCTGCATGCTGCTTTTCATGACAGATTTATTTTGCCTGAAAATGTTTCTTGTGCATTGCTAAATGTTTGGCAGAGTAAGAGCTTATTATCGTTTTACATGGTATTTTGAACTTAGTCAAACGAAATTGATTTGTAAGCAGTTGTGATTTACAGGTTCTCAATAGTTTTGGTTGAAGGTAGTTGATTGACAATTTCAAATAAAAGCTAATTCCGAAGTCTTTATGATACATTCTGAAGTCTTTGTTATTATTGTTATTATTATCATTATTATTATTATCAGTACTGATATTAGTGCTACAACTATTATTTATTATTTAGTTGTTACCTTATTTACATGATGATGAACAAAAGGAAATTAGCCAGAAATACCTAAATCATTTTTATTTCAACACAGGGTATGTTCGAGCCATATCTGAAAAGTTTCTTTGTCCGCTCCAGTGATCCTACTCATATTAAGGCTTTGAAACTTGAGGTGAGTGTTCTTTTGTTATATATGTTTCTCTCTCTCTCTCTCTCTCTCTCTCTCTCTCTCTCTCTCTCTCTCTCTCTCTCTCTCTCCTCTCTCTCCTCTCTCTCTCTCTCTCTCTCTCTCTCTCTCTCTCCTCTCCCTCTCCCTCTCTCCCTCTCTCTCTCTCTCCCTCTCCCTCTCTCTCTCCTCTTCTCTCTCTCTCCTCTCTTTCTCTCTCTCTTCTCTCTCTCTCTCTCTCTCTCTCTCTCTCTCTCTCTCTCTCTCTCCTCCCTCCCCTCCCTCCTCCTTTCTCCCTTCTCCTCTTTCTCTCCCCCTTCTCCCCTTTCTCTCCCTTCCCCCTTTGTTCCCTCTCCCTCCTTCTCCTGCTCTCCTCTCCTCTTCCCCCTCCTCCCTCTTCCTCTCTCCTCCCTCCTCCCTCTCCTCCCTCCTCCTTCTCTCCCTCTCTCTCCCTCTCCTCTCTCCCTCTCCCTCTCCCTTCTCCCTTCTCCCTCTCCCTCTCCCTCTCCTCTCCCTCTCCCTGTCCATCTCTCCTCTTGTGTCCTCCTCCTTCTGTTTATTGATAACGTTAATCATAATGCTAATAATGCAACCGACAATATTATTAATTGTACTTAAAAAGGCAGTCACATGGTCTTCATGGTCTTTGCTGTTATTGTAAAGGTATAATTTTTGCTTGTTTTTTTTATTGTAGAAGAAACTATTTTAAACAACTATCATTTTAGCTCTATGTTATGTGAAGGGTAAGTTTGAACATCTTGATTATGCATATATATATATATATATATATATTATATATATATATATATATATATATATATATATATATATTTATACATATATATATATGTAGGGTATTTATTGTTTTGTGTTCTTCAGGTTCTGACAAACCTTGCAACAGATGCTAACATATCTGTAATACTGCGAGAGTTTCAAACATACATTGGATCTTCTGATAAGGAGTTCGTTGCTGCTACAATCCAGGCCATTGGAAGGTTGGTTACTGAAAGAAGTAGAAAAAATTTCATGATTTTTATATTTGAATGTTTCTTATGTATTCTGGTTTCATAAAAAAAAAACCCTCATTGGATTGTTAGGGGCCATGGCTATTTGTATGGAGAAGTGGCAAGCTGTGGTTGAGTTACTGTTTTTTTTTTTTTTTTTCAGCAAGTTTATAGTATACCTGAGAACTTTTGTTATAATAATGCAGATTAATTTTGTGTTTGGGTTTATGTGTGTGGATATTGATTTTAGTTAGTTTGTTACTGATATCTATGTATATTTATTGAGAAGAATCCAACCACATTCTTAAATTGGTGGCTTCATTATTAATTTTCACCTTCGATGAAAAAAATAATCAGAAAAAAAATGTGTTTAAAGATACTAAGAATAATAACTAATGTCTACTTTTGTATGTTACGGACAAATCTTTGAATCCAGTGAAAATATCATAACATGAAAATATACAGGAAGAATAGCTTGTCTGTTAGAAAATTGATATAGACAAGTATTTTCTTGTACCATATAGTTTGTTTGAGGCATTGGTTGGTTAAATTCATTATCACAAGTTTTTAACCTTTTACAGATGTGCCTCAAACATAAGAGAAGTTACGGACACCTGTCTTAGTGGCCTTGTGTCACTTCTCTCCAACAGAGATGGTAAGTTGAAAGATGTTTATGTGACCTTGATAATGAAATGTGAAAAATATTTAGGAGGGTTAGTGCATGAGTCTCTGTATATATCTCTAATAGCTGAAATGGTTTAACATGGGTTAAGCTTCTGTAAAACTTTATACTGTTTTGATGGAAAATTGGTCTACAAAGAATACCTTTAGATTTTAGAAGAGCTAGATGTTGGTATTCATAGTCCAATTATTTCTTAATCTGTATTGGTCTCCTATTCCAGAGTCTGTTGTGGGTGAGAGTGTTGTAGTGATCCGGAAGTTGCTGCAGAGTGAGACAGTTGGCCACAAAGACATCATTAGCCACATGGCTCGGCTTGTGGATAACATCAAGATCCCCATGGCCAGGGCAAGCATCCTTTGGCTCCTGGGAGAGTACTGCGACAAGGTGCCCAAGATTGCTCCCGATGTGCTTAGGAAGATGGCCAAGACATTTATAACAGAGGTAATTTGTTTATAGCTGTGGTCTGTGTTTTTAAGGAATAAAGTAACAGTTAAAAGATTGCCATGCTTAATTCTTTCGAAGTGAAACCTGTAGTTTATTCAAAATTTAGAAGAAAGAAAAGAACTGATTTTAAAATGCATTCTCAATCAACACAGGAGGACATTGTAAAGCTGCAGATCCTGACTCTAGCCACGAAGCTGTATCTGACAAACCCTAAACAGACTCGTCTTCTCTGCCAGTATGTGTATAACTTGGCAAAGTATGACACCAATTATGATATTCGTGACAGGGCTAGGTTAACAAGAGCTCTTGTGTTTCCATCACAAGGACACGAAGATAACAAACTTGCTAAGCACGCAAAGAAAATATTTTTAGCAACCAAACCACCTCCAGTTCAACAGTCAAGTTTTAAAGGTAGGCATGATGATATTTTTTCTGTTTATTTAATTTATAATTTTGAATGATTCAGCAGTTTTAAAAAATAGATTAATATCAGTAATATCAGTTGTATGATTAATTTGTCATTGTAGCATTTTCATGATGAATTGAATGAAAAAATAAAGATATCTTTGGATTATGAACTGAGAAAAAATAATTTTAGATGTTAATTGTATTTTGTATTTTTTTCTAATGAGATTGAGGTAATGATTCATTGCTATGTATAATATCTATTTTGATTTACGTCAAGCTGTGTGATGTTTGTATGGAAAGTGGAGATTGCATTTAAGTTCAAAATAAAGAGTAATGACTATTTATCTACCCCTGCAGATCGGGACCAATTCCAGCTAAGCACACTCTCTCACTTCATCAATGCCAGAGCCAGTGGTTACCAGGACCTTCCTCCATTCCCTGATGATGCCCCAGACCCAAGTGTTCGCAATGTAGAGATGCCAGCACCAGTCACACCAGTCTTCAAGTCTGCTCATCAAAAGAAGAAGCCGCAGAAGGTGAAGTCGTTCTACTCTGATGAAAGCTCACCAGAAGATGAGAGTGATGAGGAGGAGAGTGAGAGTGGAAGTGAGAGCGATAGTGAAAGTGACAGCAGTGAAAGTGACAGCTCAGAGAGCAGTAGTGAGGAGGAGAGTGAATCTGAGAGCGATGATGATGAGGATGAAAAGCAGAGGACAAGAGGGAAGGCCAAGAGAAAGTCTGGGGGTGGAGGTAGAAAGCGGGAAGCATCAGAGTCATCAGGTAGTGAAGAATCGGAATCAGAATCATCAGAATCAGAGTCTGAGTCATCCTCTTCAGAGAGTGAATCATCAAGTGATGAAGAATCAGAGAATTCTGAGTCATCAGATGAAGATACCAAGAAGAAGAAATCAAAAGAGAAGATGAGTAATAAGAGCAAAGCCACACAAGGAGGAGGGAACCGCACAAACTTAGACCTCCTCCTCGACCTCGATGACATTCCTCCAGCTATGGACACTCCACTGCTTACTCCTTCCCTGGGAGGTCTCCTGACACCTACTCCGACAGCTCAGCCTGCCCAACCATTACCTCCTGGGGCATCTATTCAACCGGCCTCAGCAAAGTTTGTACCCACAACTACTCATGAACTCCTTAATAGGTTTACTGGAGTTGGACTGTCTGTGGGAGCACGTTTCACCCGATCGCCGCACCTCTATTCACCCAAAATGACATCAGTAGAACTCACTTTCACAAACAATGGAACTGAAGAAATCCGTGACATTAGTATTGGCAGGAAGAAACTAGCACCAGGAATGTCACTTCATGAGTTTGCTGGCATTGCGGTACTAAATGCTGATACAACACTCTATGGCACTCTTGGTGTGGACTTCAATGACACTACCCAGCCAGCAGTGTTTGATCTGATTGCTGGGGGACGTACATTTAGCATTAGTGTTACTGCTCCGATTGGTGAACTGATGACTCCACTGGCAATGAGCGAAGCAGACTTCAATCTGAACCAGGTAATATTTCCTTGCAAGTTGTTTACACTAAGAGGTCCTTGAAAATGTTAGTATTTTAGTAGTGTGTTTGTATATATATATATATATTTTTTTTTCTTTTTTCTTTTTTTTCTCTAGATAAGTAAGTTCTTATTGCCATTGTTTTTTTTCAACCATTGATTGATCTCTCTTTTCTGTACTCTCAGGGAAAGTTAAGAGGAATGAATGAATTGAGTGGGACAGCAAAGCTTCCAAGTGAACAGAAGAACATCAAGGCTCTTGTTGACCATGTGTATGAGATTGCCAACCTCCTACAGGTGCAGAGTTCAAGTGACAATGTGTTGAAGTAAGTTGAAGAGTCTTTGTTATGGTTTTATGTTTTTTTGCTTAGCTTTTAGTATCCACATGAATACAGATTGTGAAAAATGTTTATTGTGGATCTATGTTTAACGTAGTAGAATTCCAGATGTTATAATAACATAAATGCTGATAGGGCTGAGGTTGGTAATTTGATTTTCTGAAATGTAAATAATGCACACTTCATACAAAACAGAAAAAATGATACTAGATTTATCACATCCATTCACTTAAAGAAAAGAGGCAGGAAACAACTTGCTATTTTTTTACTACCATCCATCATTACTGTATATATGAAGTATGGCAACTATTACTTACTGCCCATATCCCTTTAACATTTAATTTTGCTGTATACAATGAAGTATTATTTTAAATAATTTATAGTGGGCAGATGTCAGATGATGCATGAGCTGTATTTAAAAGTAGGACTCCACCTCCCGATATATGCTGAGAATACTTGGCTACTTAATTACTCATGGCTCCAAATAGGCTCTAACTTATGAATACTAGATCAGTACTCAGGCACCTTACCCCACTGAGCCATTGAGCACAGAAGTATCATGTTCTATATTTATTATTATGGGAAACAAGAAAGTTATGTACATGCTCGGAAATCATTGTTGTGAAACATTCTGATTTAATTTTTAAACTATTGCAGCAACTTTAAATGTTCTATAGTGGAAAAGCAATAGAATCCATTAGAAGACTGGTGAATCCAAGAGTCATTAATGGCATTTCTTCTCCATCTCTACCCTCAGGTTTGGAGGTCAGACGGTTTCAGGGAAAGTTTTGGTGCTTCTGAGCTTGACCGTCCCAGAGGAGACCGCTGAGTGCTCCATCACCATCAATTGTGAGAA